AAAATTTTCAAATATTGGAAAAAGTTGGAAGAGATTTCGATTGTTTCTGTTAGTAGAAGGTCCAAACTACCATAACCAAAAAAAAAATTTCACGAACTTTCAAGATGTTTTTTTGTTTTTGTCTCCAAAGTTTACCAATTTTCGGATTTTGGTATGTTTAATCATATATTTATTTATTAATAAAAAAAAAATATTTGTATAAATTTTTTTTCCATGAACCATACATTTTTTGGTTTGTCGCATATATCTTTATCAAAGTGCAAAAGTTGATCTTGCTAGGAATAAAAATGTATTTTTAACAAATTTTTAACTGCGACCACTTTTATGTGCGAATCGCCGAAATGAAATGGTATGTAGAAAATAGGTGTACTTTGAGGGGGTGTGTGAGGCTGAAAGTTGTTTTTATCACAAAATAACTTATGAACTTCTCTTAGTTGGAGATTTACCTGTAACTTGACATCAAAACATCTAAGTTTCAAGACAGTCGATTTTTGTATTTTTGTCCACCTTCGCGGCACTGTGCGAGGGTGGTTTCGCAACCAAAGACACGTTTATATAGCGAGCCGCTTGCTCCTGGCAGACACCCGCTTGCAGCCGCACCTACTGGTGAACAGACGCTGCAGACTTCAGTGAGCCCTTAAACCGAATAAGTCGGAGTGGCCCCACCGAAGCTCCCTCTCTTTCTGCCGTGGCCCAAGGCTCCACTCGGATTGGTTACCGCATCTCGCACATGGGTTGCTCACGTTGCCCAGAGTGCGCGAACGAGAACGCAAGAGTCGGGATTGAGTATAGCCATGCAACTGTAACTTCATACCCAGCGCAACGACTATACCCCATTGCACTCCGACGGGCGACCGTTGTTAAGAAAAAACCTTTCTATATTTTTTTTTGCGATGCTGCTTTGACCAGGGCTTGACCAGGCCCTGCGGAGTTGTACCGCGCACCACTGCACCACAGCGGTGGTTGACATATAGGGCCTGTTCGAGGCACGTAATAAAAGCGGCATTACTGCCGCACTGATGAAAAATGGCAACATTATTGCAACTGCCCAACTTATAATACATTGCTAGAAATTCACACAGAACGTGATACTTTAATAATTCGCGCAACACTGCGGTTGTGATTGCAACTCGAACAAGCCCATACTATACATGCTGTAATTTTGCGCAGACTTAAAAATACCAACCGCGCAAAAGAGCATTAAAAATTAATAGGAACCAAAAATAATTTCAGTACAAATTTTCAATGAATAAGTACAGTTTCCACCATTTCTTTGGTTATAGTTTTGACAAATATGACTCGATTCTTTTTGAATGCATGTCAGATAAATGAGGAATTTCAGGGCTAATGTTATGCCATATGTGGTGAAAATTCAAAACATATTGTGTTTGCGATGAATAGAATTTAAAGAAATTAGATTTTTTTCAGAAAATCACCCGTTTTGTGGCAGGATTTTTAATTTGCTATAGTACGCGTTCTAGACCAATTTGTTTTCTGAAGTATTTGCCCACTTAAAGCAGTGATTCCCAAAGTGGTCCACGTGGACCCCCAGGGGTCCACGGAAGACTCGACGGGGGTCCACGGTGACGTGAACAAAATATGTGGGTCCATGAGTTGTAAATGGGGGTCGACGAAAATTTATCTGGTTTCGATGTAACGAACCAAAATGATTGCTTGATTGCCTTTTTATTTAACTTAAATTTTTTTGAGTGGTGTATAGTGCTCTTGACGCACTGCTGCACTTACCGGTACTTTGTGTTTTCATATGTGGGGAAGCCTTAGAGGCCTCCTGTAGACTAAAAAGAACCGGACGCTGGTATGACAATGAGTGGAGCGCCGCGAAAATTGCTGGCGGCAGATATTTAAGCACTTGTGTCTTTTTAATGCTACAGGATAGTACCATTACCTTTGTTGAAGAAATTCTATAATGTTGAGTTCCCTGAGACTGAATGTTGGTTTGATTCCAAAACTGACTCTGGGTCATGATCTGGGGTCTTTTTCGAGGTTAATGGAGATAAGATCCACTTTTCTGTAGGGGAATATGCTTCGGTCTTCCAGGCTGAGGTAGTTGCAATACTCAAAGCCATGGACTACGTGGTGGAACATGAGTGGAGGGGAAGGAGTTTACGTGACCGCAGTGACAACCAAGCTGCACTTAAGGCATTGACCAGCCCCTTATTTAACTACTTCCAAACTAGTTCGGCAATGCAAGTCTTAATTAATGATGAAGAACATAACGAGGTTGTTTTACTCTGGGTGCCAGGTCACTCTGGAGTACCTGGTTATGAGACATCCGATCAATTGGCCAGGTTGGTTCAGACCAGGCATTCCTCGGTCCGCAACCGGTTTTAGCACTCCCACCTTCGGCAATCGAAGCCACCATCAGAAACTGAGTGAGTACTTCGCTCAGAAATGGCTGAGAGGCATCGAGGGGATGCAGGTGGACAAAACTCATGTTGTCTTCAATCTCACAAGGTCTATCTAATTGTTTGCTCTCACTGAGCAGACGACGCTGCAGACAACTTGCTGGCCTGCTGACTGGTCACTTTACGTGGCAAAAACACTTGATTGTGATAGGCGTAAATGACAAGTCCATTTGCCCATCTTGCCTTGAAGAAGATGAGACGGTGGAACACTTTATGTGCTTCTTGCTTGCTTGGTTATTTGTCATCGATTTTTTTTTTAACTCTATTGTCAGTTTCTGAAAAGTTTGGTGTAAAAGCTTAGCCGTTTTGATGGTTTAAGTTTTGTGTTTTAAAAACGTGAAAAATATTTTTCGCCTCATTTTAAAACTCGGAGCGATAATAATAAAAATGATGCCATTAACACAAATAAACTATTTTACATATACTCCACGTGCAAAGTCATGAGTGAGCCGAACATTTGATGAGTTTATGGTGAAGATAATGTAAATACAGCTAGCGCTCGCAGTGCTCTTAAAAAATATAACTCTTCTGAGCGAGAGTATTTTGATGTATTTGCGTGCTCTATTTTTTAAAACCTACAAGTGTGTAATCATATTATTTTTATAAATAGAACACAAGAAAATATTTTACTTTTATTTTGGCCACTCTGAGTTTAGTTTTTGAATTCACCTGCGATGCAAATTTACATTGTCTGATCTAATTTTCACATTTAATTTTTTTACGAGTTTTGGGAATATTTAGAGATGTATCAGCAGGGGGTCCACCGAAACCAGTAAATTTATGAAAGGGGTCTACGAGAAAAAAGTTTTGGAACCTCTGACTTAAAGCATCCACCGCCATTTTTATAATCTTTGGTAAATAGGGAAATCCAAAATTTGTATGGTAAAAATTATTGAAATTTCTCAAAACTACGGGTGTATTCGAGCAACAATTAGTGCGCCGATTCTGTCTACAGCACGCGCCTTTTTTATGAAAACACACATTTTGATAAAGGAAGCAAGAAAATAAACAAAAAACATAGTTTCCAAAAGGACTGATTTAATTATTTTATTTTTGCTCGTTTCTATGCTGTGAAATGAAAATTTGCGAAGTCCAAAGAAAGACTAAAAAATCCTATAAATTCAAAATAATACCAAACAGAAAATCAGTCTTGGAAGTTTTTCTCCTCCTGTAAAATATGAAAAACATATTTTCACTCTAAGTTAGCGATATGTACATTAGGCTGGGTCGATTTTGTATGGGG